TATGATTTAAAAAATCAAGAAGTAGCTCAAATATTGTAATAGCATAATATTGAAAAAATATCATATTACTAAACACAACTTTCTTTAAAATATCACTTAACGCAAATTATAAATTTATAAATGAAAGAACCCTCAGTATGTCTATCATCGCCTCACTATATAATCTTGTAATAAAAAAAGTAATTATGTAATGTAATAATTATATATTAAAGAAGGAGGGAGGAAAAGCTTATATCACATATCTAGATTTATATTACTTTGAAGTATTAATTTGATTGCAATCACTTCGAACATTGAAATCAATAATAATTAATGCTAAAGCTATATACATTATAGATTTAATTCAAAATTATTCGTACGAGAAAAAATATGTAATCCTATGCACATCCCTCTCCACTTACCTTTCATTAATTTTATTCATCAGTAACCTACAAATATTTATAATTTTCAACAGCACGAAGTATACAGTAACAATACTCACACATGCACACGTATAAGTCCATAATCATCACAGCGCGCATGATACTTACGCTTACAGATTACATAAAATGACAAATATAATAGACACCATCGTCAGCGGATGTAGCCTAAACCTCATGATGAAGCCTTAAAAGAACAGTCCTGCCCTGCAGAATACACCAAATATGAAGCTGTCTATTATTGACCCTCAGAAGTAACGAAGACCGTTCGTTTATAATATCTCAAAGAACGAACGTGGGATGAATATAATGACTAAGGGTACAATCAATAAACAGCAATCAGACAGACTTCTAGATAAGTTTAACCCTATGCAATCTTTGAAAGAATAGCCATGCATAACATACATTACAGCCATGCATTGCATACAAACACCATACACCGAAAATAAGGCTGTGTATCACTAACTATGTGATATTCCAGTTGCAGTGGTAATCCTAAATGCAACCTCAATCAAAGAAATGTAAGAGGCCAATCGATCATTATTGCCGAAGCTAGAAGTCAATACGACGAACGCTACAGATAATCTATATAACAACGATAAACACCTCAATCTAATGTCGATAACTCAGGTGGCACCTACAGCCCTAGAAACAGTCGAGGTGGACCTAAAAGATGAATATACACCTTTAAAAAATCGACCAACTTCCATACGGGAAACTATAATATTGCCAGCATCAACACAAAAAATAAAATTCGATTACCCCAGGAACGAAAATACCAAGAAAGACTTGGACCCCTTTTTACTATGCTTTGTCAGGGTTAACCGTGACCACAAGATAATACACGTGATATTAAAAAACAATATTCATCACAAATTATTTGACTAAGTTCTTCAAAGGAAAACAGGGGTTAAAAACATTGATTGTGCAAAAAACAAAAAAAAAACAAATTGACGATAATGTATAACCAGTCCACATGACACTATAAAAATGAAGAAGACTATTTAAAAATATATGATATGACAAATTGACTTTTAAACTTGGAAAAAGGCTGTTGTGTTATACCATTTATGACTAAAATATTCAACCTCCGAATGACAAAAAATATACTACGTTTAAGCAAATACAGAATTAGGATTCTGATTGGATAAAAACACATTTAATATTACGACAATTGTTGAATCACTTTAAACTTATTGCAAAAAATCATTTACATATAACTGAAATCACTTTCTACGAACAACTAATTGCTACCAAGGTGGATACAATCCCTGGCAACGCTTTAGATGTTTGATAAGCGAATACAATTATACATAGTTCGATAGTCAATTACCCTCAAAAAGAAGTTTTATGAAAGCCAGATCTTTTGATTACAAATGCGGAGTAATAATGTAGAGTCATTACCTTTAAATAGTTTGTAACAAATACCTTGGTCCAGTTATCAAGAGTATTTTTTAAATAAGATTGTAGTTTTTAAAAAAATAAACAAGTTTTCAAAATTTATAAAATTGGGGAAAACCTGATTTTTAATGGTCCTTCACACAACCAGTATAAACTTTTGTAAGCCGGTAAGTTAAGACAGTGGATTTATGAGCATATCCGAGTTTGTGTCCAAAATAAATTTATGATAAGTTTTTATGTCAGTAGTTGCATATATAAGTGTAACGTTAAGGCAGTTTTACGTGAAATTCTATGTTAAAATATAAACTAAAATGCAGAAATAAGTCGTACTAATTTCCACTATTAAAATTGAAACAATACAACATATACTTATTCGCAATGACTTGTATGACTGGGTAGGGACACTTGTAACAATATTAATTATAATTAAAGTTTAATGTTATTTCTATTTGTAATAACAAAAATGTCTTTTTATTAATGTATGTCACATAATTTTCACTGTATTCAACATATCTGTTAAAAATAAATGAGCCTGGGAAAATAAATACTTTACAAAATTTTCTATAAAATACTTGAATTCCTTAATATTAATTCTCCATGTATTACATGAATCATCTTTTCTCAGCAACGGTTATCTATACACTGAATATACGTATCGTCATCAAACATGTATCAATCACAGAACTCGGGCCCTTCGACACATGCTCATTGCCTTATCATCCCAACGTAGCGCGCGTAATTTTAAATTTACTTATATTCTAACAATATCACACGATTATTTTTACTATTCATCAAAATAGTCCTACACAATAAATTTTAAAAGTGAAAGAAAAAGTTGCTGAAACTATGAAGCTAATAAAATGACGTTAGATAAAGACTAAAAAGAAAAGATTTGAGGCCTGTCGAGTAAACTTGTTAAAAGACTTATCTTAGACAAAAACTGTAACTGGTAGCCACGTGGTTCATTTGATAAATTTATTGATATACAACGTATCTGAAAAATATCGCCTATTTAGAATTAGACACTTAATTTTTATCAACGCTTTCACGAAAAAAAAATGTGAGAAACATCAAGTTGTTAAAGCATATAGCTTTCATAGGTGATACACAGTTAATTTGATCCCCACTTTTTAATTACTGATCAATAAGCAAAAGAAAATGCCAAATAAATGGCAAACTGAGTTATTTGTTTTTAATTAGATTAGAATTTTTTTAGAACCTTGAAACGTGGTAAAAACTTCTTTTATGTTAGCATTTACTTAGCATAATTTATTTTAAGAAGAAAAATTTATAAGTTTTCTAAAAAAGCATTGATTTTTAAAAAAGCCTTGAATATTTAAGTTGATCTGATTCAGCTCTCGTTTAATAAGATAATGTTTTGTAAGCTCAACTTTTTGTCGCATTTATAATCAATATCCTAACAACAAATTGTATCACCATAACATTTTCGTGCTCTTGTACTCTCGTACTTCTATATTCTTGAAGCTGGTACTCGAAAAAGTTTTTTTAAAGCCTAGATTAATTTTTTTCATCAAAATTAACACTAGCTGGTTCAAAAGTTAAGCTTTACCATAACGCTAATTGCTTTAAAAAATACAATGTTTTACAAAGTAAAATGTTGGCGTTTATTAAGTATGATGAGAACGAGTGTTAGTTTCATACTTTTTGGGTCAAGTGGCTTTTAGAAATTTATGATCCATTAATTCAAAACTTTCTACTTACTTTTAAAGCTTAACGAATTATTTTGATTAGTTGTCCAAAAAATTTTTTACATTTCCGTTTGTATGCAAATTTTGTTGTAAAATCGTTAGCAATCAAAAATAAGGGGCAATCTTGAAGTGCTGCTTTCTCTTTTAGACAGAAAAGAAAAAAAACTGCTTTATCATATGGTAAGTTTGATAAGATTACACTTAGACATACCACCTCTCAAGGTCAAAGAACATGAATAATTAAAGCGTCAGCATTCTTGTACACTCATACTTATTTTCAGTCAGCAAGTCTAAGAAAAAATTAATTATCTGGACATTATTCTCAATTTCTTTTATGACTAAGAAAAAAAAAAAATTTCTGCGGTTGTACGACATAAAAGTTCTGGATTTTTAGCCTTCGGTTCTTTCTTTATACAAACTTCTTTAATCTGCATTCATGAACGCGGCGTGAAATAAAATAAAATGCACTACAATGCGTTATTTTGAAACTTGATACAAAATAACTATTGTACTGCATAACAATACGATAAATAAACTACTTATTTATAAACATATGTAATTTTAGATAATTATTTTGTATAAAAAATTCATCAAAATTTAAACAATTTAAGTAAGTTCGTTATTATTGTATAACACTGCTCCAACTTTGAAGAAAAAACTCTGCAATAAGATCATACAAATCGAAATAGCACATTTTCTCTCATCAAGATGCATCGTGAAAATTCGCAGATGCTAAGAAACATTTAAGTGTCCACCCGACGGCATGATACTAACACTTATTTTCACTACACTTTACAAATAGCATTATTACACCTCGTCAAAGGTGGAATTGAAAAAAATTAAGAAAATTGGTAAACTTGACGTCCCGAAAAAAAGATGGCAAAGCAATCATTTTTTATGGGTTAGATTATCTTAAACATTTACAACTTTTCTTAAAAGTACATGCCTTGTCTTTAAAAATTAGGAGTATTTTGTTTCTAAACAACATTATACTATTTTTATGCTAACATGGAATGATTTCTAACTCAGTTTTTAAGCTGTATGAAGAATATTAACTTAATGGAGAAAATTATCAATTTGTATAATTTAGGTGCTTAATTAACTGTATGTTACCTTAGAAAATTACAACGTCAGTTAGGAATATTATCAATCAACTGATAAGTTGTGTTTTAACGATCTGAATTTTTCAAGTTTTTTTTGTATCCAACAAAAAATTGTAAGCTGAATTAAGAACGTAAGATAGCTTTCAGGTACGCTCCAAATCAATAAAAACATTGAATATATGTGTGGCTAGCTGTAATAAGACACATCTATTGTTTTTGCTAGTTATACTGGTTTACTTTTGGATTTTTCGTCACAAACAAAGAAGAAAATCTGATTCACTAAAGGCTTACAAACTCTATGTAATCAATTGAATATTCATGTGCATAAGGGAGTATATATTTATTACTATTATTTGTAAAATACTTACTTGTCCTGAATACAAGTGGCAAAATCCCCTTACAATTTTTTCTTTGTATAAGTTCCCTGCTGCTGTTTCCATTCGACGAATCGTATGTAACTGTTTATAATACTGTAGAGCATCAGTTTTTGACACTGTTACTTGTGTAGACGGTCCAGTGCTTAATTTATGAAGACGGAAGGGTTTAGTTTCAAAAGTAGCATTAGTAGCATAATATTTACAAATATTAATGCTTTTCATAAACTGAAAACAAATAAGGCTGATTACGTAGTGAAACAATAATTTTGAATATTTTTGCACATAAGTTTACAATACTGTTTATTTACTCATCAAGTTTTGTTATTAAAAATTAAAAAAGGAATCAGTTTATTATTGTGTTCAAAAATTATTTTTACTGATGAGTTCGTTATTCAAAAAATAACAAATTTTTTTACACTTGCTTTAGTACTACATCTTAGAAATTAATTTGAGATCAGTATTCTCTCACGCTTCATGTAATAATTATAACATTCCAAAAATTCCTCAAAGTAAAATAATTATGGACCTACTAATCCCTCTGCACCTTAAAAAAAACTTATTCATAGGCACAAAGTGTACCTATAGGGTGGAAGGCTTTGCCACACTTGAGGTACTTAAAAATTCTATCATTGCTACGGCACTTTATCACTGGCCCATACGATGCTCAGAGTGAATGTCAAATTGACACCTTACGACAAGGATGGGGATGCGTTTGTAGCTCCAGTGAACAATTTCTTACACTCGATATTCAATCAGGTTGACGTTTATTTTAATCAAAAACTTTTGGCTCCTCCAAATAATGCTTACCCATACAGAGCATACATAAAAACTCTTTTAAATTACGGTCCTGCTGCAAAATCATCGCATTTGTCGACAAATCTGTGGGAAACAGATATTGCTGGTGAAATGGACGAATTACCCGGTTCCAAAAAAAATTCAGCTCTTACTAAGCTTCAAAAATATTTAAAAGATGAAAAGACCGTAGACTTAATGGGTCATTTACATTGTGACGTATTCAATCAGAATGAATCATTATTAAATGGCGTCGAAGTTCGTTTATGTCTAGTGCGTGCAAAAAATGCTTTTTGTCTCATGGATCCTTCAACGAAAAATTATTCCGTCAGCATTAGCGAGGCTACACTTCTTGTTCGGCGAGTGAAAGTTAGCCCTACAGTTTTGATTGCACACGCAAAAACTCTAGCAAACACTACGGCAAAATATCCAATTACGCGCGTCGAAGTCAAATCTTTTACCCTACATAACGGTATAAACGGCGACTCTTTAGATAATGTTTTCCTCGGACAACTTCTGAAAAGAATTATTTTAGGTTTTGTTGACAACAAAAAATTTAATGGGGATCGAAAGATGAGTCCTTTCAACTTTCAAAATTATTCTATAAATTTTTTGTCGTTGTCCGTTAATGGTGTACAACTCCCAAGTAAGCCGCTACAACTGACTTCTACAGGAAGTACACCTATGTACATGGAAGCATATCATACTTTATTTTCGGGGACCGGGATCTATTACATGAATGAGGAAAATGGTATTCACAGGAAAAACTATTCCAACGGGTATTGTCTGCTTGCATTTGATCTTACGCCTGATCTTTCAGCGCATTTTGCAGGTCATTGGAATTTAGTAAAGAATGGTACAGTACGAATAGAAGTACGCTTGGAGACAGCTCTCACGAAAACTGTAAATTGTGTTTTATATGCTAAATTTGACAACATATTGAAAATTGACTCAAATCGTCAAGTAGTTGTGGATTTCAACTCATAAAAACTCATACATCGTTTATTATGGACTCGTCTCAACTACGTAGATCTCTTTGCAGTATG